GGTTCCCCTGCCTGTGGCAGGGGATGGAGCTGGAGGAGCTTTAAGGTCCCTTCAACCCAAACCAGGCTGGGATTCTGATCTGGACTTTTTAATTCCATATAAGCAGCACAGTGTGGCCACCACAGAGGGCACTTTACCTCCCCAGGAATGGGGTGCAGGAGCTGCCTATACACAGCGTGCCATTGTCCCCTTCAGGTGAGTGCCAGCTCTTCACCAGTGGTGACATTGGGGATGACAATAATGATGAAGACAATGTCCTCCGCGGAGCTGAAGCAGAGTGCTACAGCAGAGTAAGTGTTTCATTCGGTGGCTCCTTCTTCCTCACCCTGTGCCCTCAGCTGCTTCTAGCCTACCTTGGGCCGTGGTGGCGTGGTGGTGGGTTTCTATGCCACTTTCAGGTCTGGGCCTTTCTCTCCATTTTCCTTCTCTGAGATAAGCCCCTCTCCCAGTCTGTGTAGAAACAACCAAGTCAGTAAAACCACAAATACGCTCTGGAAGAAAGATCCACTCCTGCATGAAGAAAGTCCCTAATGAATGTCCCAATCCCAGCCCCTCCCATGTAACGAACACCCACCTGGGGTGTTTTTAACTAGAAGAGGTACGTGGTAGAGTAGCAAAGCTGTGATTCAATGAAGCTTCGTTTTGATCTGCTTCTGAAGCCTGAGAAGCTTGTCCAAGCTGTTCCTGCCCCAGGGCAGCTGATGACCTCCCAGGTACCTGGGGAGATCTGCCAGCAGCATTCTTTCTCTGAAGATGGGGAGATGCTTCAGGTACCAAAAGCATCTCCTGGATTTCTCTCTGAGCTACCAGCTCACTCAGCTTTCCCATAGTACCTTTACAAACCAGGAGAGAGCTTCTCACTGTCTGCTCATGGCAGCAGTCCTGAGCCAGGGACGGGAAGTCAGGAACCCACTTGTCCTTGGCTCCAGCACAAACACGCGCTGCCCTATACACCTGCCTCCTGCAGGTAGGACAGTGGCAGACCCAAATTTTCTCTGCAAAAAGCAGGAGCCTTGCTTTGAGCTCTGCAGACTTGGGCACACTCGGGAGACAAGGGTCCTCCCTCCCACTTCCTTCGGGGTCAACTGTGGTTTATGCTAAGTTTTCCTTTCTTGCACTTCCTACACGAAGATGTGCAAGACAAAGCGCCTGCTCTCTGTGCATCCCTTTGATTTTGAGCTGGACTCGGAGTACTCTGCTCAGTCTCGTCGCCAGTCTGTACAGCTCTCGCCAGCAGCCAGCAGCCCGGATGCGTTCCAGGTACTGGGAGAGTGCTGGGGGTTTCCTTTCCTCTCTTCCTACTCCTTGCTACCTCAGCTACCCCCTCCTTCAGCTGCTGTTGAGAGGCAGTGGTGCCAGTCCTTGCTCCCATAGCTCTCTCTTTGTCCATTTGAAGTCCTTTTCCTCAGGCTGAGTCAGGAGTTAGAACATCTGATGGAGGCAAGGATGAAGGTAAGATGAGATAGAAGAGGTTCCCTGGCCTTTTCCCTGCAGATTTCTTTGCTCTCTGCAGACAATGCTTTTCCTGTGTTATGCCAAGGCTATGTGGCACCCTGGTTTCCAGTGAGCTTTTGGAGGTTCAGTACTCTGGGTTGCAGAGCTGTGGAAAGTTTATTTCATGCTTGCATTAAGGGTGAGGAAGTTTGGCCAGGCTGGATGGGGCTTGGAGCAACCTGGTTTACTAGATAGTCTCCCTGCCCATGGCAGCGGGTTGGAACTAGATGATCTTTAAAATCCCTTCCAACCCAAACCATTCTATGATTCTACTGAAGGGGCAAAATGAGACCAGGCTCTTCTCCTACCATCCTATCCAGTTTAGGGCTCTTTCTGCCATGAGGTGGCCCAGGGGATGTATTTGGCCAGCAGTTTCCTGGGGCACACAACCTTCGTAAGGCTGAGAGGATGAATCCCAGATCCAGTGTGATTACAGTGTCAGCATCTGCATGGTGGGGGCCTCTGTCAGTCAGAGAGAACAAAAACTTAGTGAATGCTGATTATTTCTGTATAGGAGACTGCATGTGTCTGTCAGGAGCTCCTGACCACGAGCAGGACCCCCAGACAGCTCCCACATGAGCAACTGCAGTGAGCTGCACCCCATGATCCCACCAAGGACAGGGGGTCAGTGTCTCCACCTTCCAGCTCTGGGAGGAACGCAGACAGGGCTGCCCTGCATGTGGCAAAAGCTCTTCCAGCCTGAGATGCTTCAGATCAAGCTTTTTTGGGCTGTTCCTTTTTCCCTTTCCTGTTGAAATTTCACTTTTAAAGCGTTCTAGAGCTCCCTCTTCCTTCTCGTGATGCTGTAATGCTTCAGGCTCCACTGGGATGTGCTGAGACGCACAACACGGGCTTTAAAAAAGAAAAGCAATCCACACAATTCCACATGAACTGACAAGAATTTGGGGCAGACGATTAGAGGGGCAGAGGGTGGCCGTTGTTTGAATATGGAAGTGGTGTTCTTAAAGACCAGAGCGTTCTGCAGCTCAGATGAAGAGCTCTGTGTGCAGTGCTTGTAAAAATTCACAGTGCCCCCTGGCAGTGATGAGGAGCATTGCTCAGGGCTCATCACCAAAGGAAAGCGGTCTTTAAACCGGGTTATTAGGAACGGGCATTATAACGGGTCAGTCCATGGAGGTATTGGAGGATAAAGGTAGGAGCGGTTGGCGGTGGTCAGAAGAGAGAAGGAGTCCCCCCAGGCAGCTGCTCATCAGCAATCCTCATCTCAGTCTTTCCCAGATTTCCCTCACTCAGCTGAAGATGCCTCCCAGGAGGAACCCAGGATCACCGACACGGATCTGGTCTTCCACCACATCGTGCAGGAACAGGGAGCAGGCAGGATCCCTCCAGAGCAGCACTTCAGCACAGAGGTTCGGCTCACCGTCAACTCACGGAGAAGGAGCCTAGAAAGAAATGCCAGACCTGGTAGGTGTCTCCGGACAGGCTTCTCCTGTGTCCTTTTGAGGACAAGTGGCTGCAAGAGGTGGAACAAAATGAAAATGTCCTTGATGTTTTGGGGCTGGTTTTTTTTTTAACAACTTCAAAGCCACTAAAAACCTTGTGGCCAAATATGTTGTGGCTGAAGCAATCTGGTTGTAATGGGCTGGTCTTGTTCCCAACAAACTCATTTCACCAAGTCAGAGGGGCCTTTCTTAAAGTGTCTGTCCCTTTCATACCCGCTGCTCTTGTCCAGGGTAGAAACCAGATACAATCAAACGGACACTACTAGAAACAACGGGATATGTTTCCTCCTGCAGGCAGCAGTTGGTGAGTTCAGCTTCTTGCCAAAGGATGGTGTAGGTGCAGAAAACGTAGAGTCTTAAGGGGACTTGGGCTGTAGTAAGACTGGAGAACAACTGGTGGCAAGCACTGGGAATTGCTAAATAGCATCCTTGTGGCTGGGCAGGGTGCACTGTCAGGCTGCAGGAGCCGTGGGTTCCTGAAATACCCTACCAAATAACAGGGCAGAATTTGCCTTTTACTACTGCTGCTTTCCCTGCTGTGATAGCAGACCCAGGAGGGTTGGATACTGGCTTGTGCACATACATCCTTCTGGGTCTCCAGAGCCCTGCCTATATTTTCAGGGGACTAGGAAATACTGTGTGCTCTGTAAATGCCCACTCCAAGTGCCACTGGAGCGACACCTTTGGCTCGTTCAGTCTATTTTATGTCATTGGTTTTGTTTCATTTGAAATTCTCCTTTAAAAATAAGACTTTCCACTCTTTTTTCAGTGCTCCATCCTAGACTGGTATCTCTCTAGCCTGAGCTAAACATCTTTCAGTACCCAGTGTATGAAGGGCAGTGTCCAAACCTGGACTCGAACAAGACTGGGAGGGCAATAGTAGGTTTTACTGATGGACATGATTGTTTGGGGTGCAAGCGAGGAAGGATGATCCCCCTGGTGCCTACTGCTACCTCAGCAGTGCTGTGTGGGACCCTGTTGAGTTAGGTGCTTTGTGGCTGCAGCGAGTGGAGCTACAGCCTGGTCTAGCACAGCCATCCTTAACCCCGGTCTCTCTTGCAGAAGCATCTCCTGCCAAAGCACAGAAGGTGTGATCTGGAGAAATGCCTCATTATTTGCTTGTTTACAGCTGGGGCCAATCTCCAGGAAGGAACTCAAGGGTATGAGTTTGTTGTAACTTTGTGCTGAACCCTTCTCTCTCCAAAGACAGCCCCTGGAATGAGCAGCCCCGGTCCCGGTACTCTGCAGATATGGACACCTCTGATGAGGACATGAAGGAAGCCCAGTTCCCGGCCTATCCACCCCACCATGTGAAACGACGTAACAGAGCCTCTTCCCAGGAGAATTCCAGCCACTCTGGGAACCAGGTACCGAACAGCCCCTGAACCCAGGCTGTGGCCATAAATGGTGCTTGTTACCTGCAAGGTGTGGGATGGTTCAGAGGAGAAAAGAAGTAGTGTTGGCAAACTGGGGTGCAGCCGTGGTAGGCTCCCAGCCAGCGCGGATGTGCAGCATGAGCAGAAGCGCTGGTGTGCCCTAGGTACCATTCTCTGCAGGGGTGGCTGGATGCCCGAGCTTCACATGTGCAGGTCCAAGAGGGAGCAGTGTGGGTCTCAGATCTCTGTAGACTCAAGATCTCTCCTCCTCTTCAGGTAAGGAACTGAAGAAACTGGGGTGTAGCCACTTCGTATTGCCAGAGCAGTACAGGAGGCTTGGGGGATGACCCAGGGGCTGGCTCATTTGGGTGTCATATCATGCTCATGTGGCACCAGAGAGATGAATGCCCAGGCCATGTCCTGCTCTGCGTGTTGTGAGGGAGCTGCCAAGGTGGTGGTGAAATGGGAACAGGACTGAGACCTGAGAAGGTGTGTTTAAGGCTCCCTTGTTCATAAAGATCACAGAATCATAGAATGGTTTGGGTGGGAAAGGCCCTTAAGATCCTTTATTTTCACCCCCCCTGCCATGGGCAGGGACGCCTCACACTAAACCATGTTGGCCAAGGCTCTGTCCAACCTGGCCTTGAATATTGCCAGTGGCTTAGCAACTTCATCCATCAGCTTCTTCAGGACCCGTGGATGGATTTCATCAGGTCCCATGGACTTGTGCACATTCAGGTTCCTAAGATGATCTCAAACCTGACCCCCTCCTACAGCGGGCCTAAGGTCTTCATTCTCACAGTTCCTGCGTCTGCCTTCAAAGAGTTGAATAGACATTTCTCTGCCCTCTTAGGATGATGCAGAAGTACTGGAGCTCTGTGCTTCCCCTCCCACCTTCTCCCTCCACTTTTGCAGTCATGGCAAAGAGAAAATCAGGCACTGGTTTGTGCTTCATTCTGCCTATGCTGCCTGAAGCCTTCCTTCATTCCTGTTGTTTTTTCAGCTTGTCCTTATTACTCTGCAAGTCACCTGTAGTTTCCTGTGTCCCCAAAAAGGCTTTCTTTAATTGAATGACTGGTGCTTTATGACCAGACAGAGGTTTGGAGAAGGATATTTGATAAGCATCGAGATCCTGTTCTTCCTTTGAGGGGTGTATTGTTCCTGCCCTGATAGGACTGGGTCAGGACAACCTGTCACGTTAGTCTTCTGAATGATGGTAATAGGGGGAACGGTCTAGAGAAGGGTGTCAAAAAGGCTGTAAGCTTGTGTGTTAGTTGTCAAGCAAGGACTAGCAGTTCCTGATGCTGCCTTTGTGAATGGTGGTGGGTGGTGAGATGGTAAAGCATTCCTCAGACCTTTTACAGCAAAGTGCAGGGTGGTGTTTGGCTGCAGATACGCACAGAGCCAGCGCCAGTCTTTGCTCACAGCAGTAATTTTGCACATCCTGGACCCCTCTTCGTGTAATCAGCAGGGGGATGTGTAACCACGACCATCCCTCGGCACCACACTTCATGTGCCTGGGTAGGGAAACCATTCCTCTGCATGTTACTTCTCTCAGCACGTGTTCTAATTAGTAAGCATCGTTCCTTTTTCAGCCCGCAGTAAATGGGGGAGCCCTGGGCGGGGTGTCCTTAATGAGCCCGCGCTACATTAGGCATGAAATTTGCACCGTGCTTTGCAGTGGGGAAATGGGGCCAAATTCCTACCAGTGCTGCAGGTAACTTCCTCTCTCAGCTGGGCAAGCTCCTCCCTCAGGGTGGTCCGGGGTGATCCCCTGGTTTGCTCCATCACACCAGCACAAAGGCTGCTGTGGAGCCTTTTCACTCTAGTGGTTATATGATGACATCTCACTCCCAATTTAAGCCCATTTTCTCTTAGGCCAACATCGTTCATTAGCTTAAACAGCTTTTCATCCTTCCTGCCCTTTGTGCTGCTGATGCGTTTACAGCTAGCAACCGTCCTCTGAGCCTTCTCCTTGCCCAGCAGGAAGAGACCTGGCTCTGTGCTGGACCATTAACTTCAGCATGATGCACACGTGCATTGCTGTCACTGTTGGCCCAGGAGAGGCCAGGTACAAGCCCTAAGAAGAAAGAAGGTGAGAACATCCAGGTTTCAGTGCTAGACAGCTCTGTTGTATCGGCAGAGCTGGAAGAGGTTCGGAAGAGACTGGGGTCCGTTCCCTGGTCCTGAGACTGGAGGAGATGGAGGGGCTGAGGCTGGCAGGAGGGCAGAGGCAGACCAGGAGGGATCCCTGTGTCAATTCAAAATGTTGGCTTGTGGGGCGCAGGGTCCAGAAGCATGTTTGTTAAGTCCTGTTAATCCTGTATTGAATCCCATAGCTGGGCTTCAAAAGCAACGTTTTCCTGGTAGACACCCTGTTGGCCTCTGAAGGTTTCAAGAGGTAGAGAGCTCAGCTCTTTGCCCTGCATCACTTTGACCCCACAGATGAAAACCCCCTCCTAAAACTGCCTTAGGTACAAGTTTGTCAAAACACGCTTGATCTGACCATTGCTTTTGCTTTCATTCTGGAGCAGACACATTGCTCAGTCCCAAACAAGGAACATAACTTTTCCAGTAACAAGAGGCTGTTCCCTGGTCTGTGACTCCAGGAGCTCAAGGTGCTAGAACAACACTGGAAAAAAACCCACCACTATTTAAAAAAGCTTTTAAATCTGCTGAGACATAAAGAGAAGCCCTGATCTGGTAACTGTGTAGGTAGGTCTCTGCCTTTAGGTCTTTAGCAGCCAGGTAAGAACAGGATCAAGCCCCAAGGAACAGCACTAATTTACCAACTTTCTTCCTGAAAATCCCTCTGCTGTGCCTCAAGGGAGCTCTGTGGTTGTGGATTCCCAAGGCTTTGGTGCTGTCTGACTCTTCTTTACATCAAGCTTCTGTTGGAGGTCTTGGGTATTTGAGAGACTGGAGGTAGCACTTCTGCTGGAGTAGCCTGTCTTCCCTCCTCGGCAGCAAGTGACAGCTTGCCCCAACTGGCAGCTTCCTTATGGGCCCTGGTTTAGGTTTCTTCACTTTAAATGTTTTCCTACAAAGCACCATTTGCAAGCCTTTGTTACACAGAGAGCAGGGCAGGGCAACCCAGCCCAAAGGAGATGCGCGCTAACGGGGTGACCACCATGCATTAAACCCGGCCTCACTTAGGGAGGAGAACAAAAAGCGAGCTCTTCAGCTCCTATCCCTGTAGCCTATCAACAGCAGACCATGCATTATGCTTTGCCCTCTCCCAACCTCTGCGTTGTGGAGACAGGGTAGTGCCTGTGTTCAGTTCATCACTCGCATTGTCACTGGGAGCAATGCAAGAGTCAGGCCTCAAACAGTGCTGAGAACCCACTTAGAGATGGGTTGGATTGTTCCTGCCTGTGCTTAAAGATGGTGCTTAAATGCTGCTTAAAGATGCATTCAGTTCGGGATGGTAATTACAGCGTTCTGCTCTCCAGCGTGTCAGGGGTTTATATTCATCTTCCCTAAAGCAGAGGCGATCTCTCCAAGCTGTTGTGAGAATCTAATTAATCGAACACAAGCACAAAAACTGAGTGAGAGGATGGAAATGTTACAAAAACAGAGCCAAGCCCTCGCATCTCTTTGTCACTGCATTTACTTACTGCATTTGCTTCTCTTTCCCCTTTCAATGGGAGGCAGGCACTCAGGATGGCAGTGATGTGGGAGCTAATGTTAAAAGATGGGCAATATTCCCCATTATTTGTGGGTTATTTGTTTGGATCAAAGAAGAAAGACTATTCTTTTTTCCCCCCAAAAAAAAAAGAACCACCAAAACCTTCCACTTCTAAAAAGAGGGAAAAGCTTCTTTGATGTTTTCAGTAGTTTAACCACAAGAGTTTGTCTGGGCTCTTGCGCACAGACAGTGCTTTTCGCTTTTCAGGGTTTTGTCTGTCCTTCTCTACTCTTCTCTCCATGCCCCTTTTTTCAACTGGAAGAGGGAGGGAGGAGAGAGAGGCAAGTGTCTGGGTACATCCATGCATGGAGAAGTCGAGATTTTCACAGTGTGCTGGGAAAGCTTTCAGGGTTATTGTTCCTATCTGGAATTTCTATGGGAATTTCCTACCTTTTCCCTCTCCCTTCCCAGCACTGCATTGGCAGGGGGTGGGGGGTGGGGGGGGCGAGGAGGTAGCTGCTTGATAAAAGTGTTAGTAGGAAGTGAAGATTGCTGTTGAGTTGAATTTGGGAGAGCATGTGAGTGATGGCAGGATAGATGGCTTTGTTACAGCCTCATGCTTTTGCCTGACAAGGGACAGGATGGGCCGGTGACGTGGTTTTATGTTCACTGCATCAAAGCTACCAATGCTTTGGTGGGAACTGAGATGTGCTGGGTACTCAGCACCACCTTGAGCTTTCCAGACGTGAGGGGAGGCTGTGCACCTCCTGGGGCCCATCACTGTATCCAGGGCTGGTTTTTAAAGACATTGATTGTTAATGTCCTTTAACTCGGGCCACGGTGGCGGTGTCTTGCTGCTTGCTCTCTTCTGCTGGTCGAGCTGTTTTCTCACTGTGCTGGCAGGGGTGGCCGGGCTGTTCTCTACTCCTTTGCTCTATCTCTCCTTCCCTCTAGATCCATGAGCTCAACAAACGCATGTCTGCAATCGAACGTGTGCTGAATTGCTTGGAGGAAAAGATCCTGGTGAGCTCTGAGGAGGTAACCGGGCAAAGCCAGGGCACTCTGCAGGGAGAGAGCATGGGCTGTGCTGGGCCCTTCCCTTCTCATTGGAAGGGCTTCTCTGAAGCAGCCAGCATTGCAGGGAGAAAGCAGAGCAAATGACTCAGGTTGGTTGGGTTTAATCCTCTGTTTTGGCTTTGGAGGCTCTTCTATAGTTCCAGGTGATGGAGCGCCTCAGAAAACATTGCAAGGCAGGGCAGAATCAGAGCAAACTTAACTTTTAGGCCCCTGTGCAAGCTAGTGCCTTCCTTGCTCATTCTGCACAAGGAAAATTGGGTTTCACGTTTGTACTCTGAAATGCTTTTTGCAGGAGAATTGTCAAGTGGGTGTCAGTACATCCGAAGAGCTGTGACAGCTCATTTGAAATTGTGGGAGACTCAATTAGGACACGAGGAAGTCACCTGGTAATTGTTAATATGAGATCTGAGTCAAGAAGGATTTCCGGATCTCTTCTGAGTTGCCCTTGTCTTACCGTGCCATCAAGTTTGGAAGAAAACAGCTGAATTAAGTTACAGCTGGGCAGCAGTGTAGAATCTGTGAATACTTAGGTCATTTAACATTGATTTGGGGTTTCTAATTTTAAACTATGGACTCTTCCTTTGCGTGAACCCATCACCATGAGCTGCTCTGACAGCTGATGGCTCAGTAGAGTAGACAATGATAATTACAGAGAAGTCCCCTAGGCACAGATGAAACAGTGCCTAAAATCTGTGATGGGGATGGCCATGTTCTCAATCATTCGGTGTTTCTGCCAGTAAATTTGACCAAGGGAGCGGGAGATGTACACATTTGCAGGTTCCTGTGCTTTATTCCCATGTCTAGGGCATATCAGAGTAGAAGCAATGGGTCTAAACTGCTGCAGGAGAGGTGGAGGTTAACTATTAAGCACAGCTTTCTAGCAGGAAGGATAGCAGAGCCCAAGAGTAGGTTGCCTGGGAGAACGATTGCCTGCTGCAGATGCCGTTGTTCAAGATTGGCGAGAACAGCTTAGACAAAACCCCACCAGGTATGACATGGATAATTGTATTCCTGCCTTAATGCAAGGGACAGCAAGTTCAGTAACTTCTGGAGATCCCTTACAGTGCCTGGATTTAATAGGATTCTTCTCCTGATACCATGAATTGCATCTAATAACAGGGCTGGGTGGAACTGCACCATCTATCCTACAGGAAAATTTGCTGCAGGTTTTCTCATGACAAATAAGATTACTTAAAGGCTCTCAAAGCTACATCAGGGAGCTGTAGTTCACATGGCTTCTTCCCTTATCCTGGTGGACCATGTCTTTGAGTTGCTGTGATCTCTGCCCTCGGAGCTACCAGCCTCACCATGGTTCCTAATGAAAACCTGGTGATTTTGGGCCCCAAATCCCCTGGGTACATCTTGGTTTTTTAAGGGGGGGAGCAGGCAAATGCAATTTTACACAGGGAAAAACAAGCAAGTTGGAGGGGGGTGGGGAAGGTCCTTCAGGCCAAGGATTTGTGTTCCTCAGCGTGGAGCTGGAGCGCAGCTCCCTTTGCAAAGTCCATCAATGGCTGCACTCCTCGTGTTCCTCTCCTGGCCGGTCATGGTGAGTGCACCTGGGCCTGGGCATGCCCCACTGTCCAACACAGGAGACTCAAACCCACCTCCCTTCTTCTGCTCCCTCAGTCTCCAGCCCCAGACTCCCAGCTTGACCCCGATGCAGAGGAGGAGGAGTTGAAGAGGAAGCTGGAGGAGTTAGCCAGAAACATCAGTGACAAGGAAGTCTCTTCAGAAGAAGAGGAGCATGAAGAAAAGAAGAGAGCAAAGAAACCCGAGATGAGTCCCTCCAGTGATGACGTGGCCCGAGATGCTCAAAAGGTAATCTGTGTCCTCCCACCCATCCCATTCTAGGCTCCATCTGTGGTTCCTTCTGCTTTTAGTGGTTTATGGTTTACACCGTGATGTTGCAGCTCTTTTTCTGTCCCACACCTCCACCTCAGTGCCTCCCAGGGCTGTGGTGTGTCTGACTTGGCTGTCTGCTTTAACGAAGTGTCAAGGGTTAGAGCACTTCTAGGGTCTAGAGACCTTTCTCTGCTCTCTAGGCTCTCCCAGTCTCATCCAAGAGTCAAAAGTAAAGTCTCTTAGAGGTCTCGCAGGCTACCTCCTACCTTGGAGGGGTACACACCCTCCACATCTGTTTAGAAGAGTTGTCTCAGGATCTTAGATATCATTGCAGAGAACAGAGTCCTGGGGTGGGAGAAGAGCTTGGTCATTTAGTACTGGCAGCTTTTGTCAGGCACCTGCTACAACCTGAAATGTCTCTTCCAGGCCTCCCAGTGTTCCTGAGGCTCCAAATTCCTGGTGCTGCTTCCAGCCTGCTAGACCAGCATCTCCTGTAGTTCAGCAGTGTGCTGGCTCCTGCTCCCCATTCAGTGGGTGAACTGTGGGGGCATGGCCAGGGAGAGGAGGAGGGATCGCAGCATTATGCAGTCCCATTGATGCTGCACCACAGGATCCCTCACCCCCATGGCCCAGCGCAGCTCTGATTCCCCCCCTGCCTGCCGGGTGCGTTTTGGAGGCCCGCTTCTCCCCTGCTATCCCTTGAGCAGAGGCATTCGTTTGCGTGCAGCCTTGCACGGGGAATTGTTTCCATGGCCCGAGAGCAAGAGCAGGCAGAGGAGCTGCTCAGCTCTGCCCTCGCCTCCGCCGGTGTGTGGTGCGGATGGGTGGCAGCCCGGGGACGAGCACCCCATGGCAGCCCAGGTGACTCAGAAAGGGAGCTGCTTAAAGCCTCCTGAGATGGTCCATTAGCACAAACAGGAGAGGTCAGCGTTCCTTGTTAGGTCTCTAATGGCTTATTTGTTCACCTCCTCCCTCCTGCCTTGGCTGTGGGTGGAGTATGTGCGTGTTTGCTCTGTCACATCCTCACTGGAGCGCTGCCTCTCTCCTCTCCCACAAAGCTCCTTTCATCTGAGGTTGTGGAGGCTTCTGTGGTGCCACGAGGTCTCTCTTCAATGAGCTTTTGTTCCTCAGCCTCACAAGGCAAAACCTGGTTGCTTGGAGAGCGCGGCTGCACGTACACACGGTGTGCACTTACTGAGTCTGTGTCAGGTGTGAAGGAGACCTCAGAGCAGCCTCTTAATACCTGAAGGGGGCTACAAGGATGCTGCAGAGGGGCTCTTCATCGGGACTGGAGTGACAGGACAAGGGATGATGGGTTCAAACTGAAACAGGGGAAGTTCAGGTTAGATCTAAGGCAGAAGCTCTTCCCTGTGAGGGTGCTGAGGCGCTGGCACAGGGTGCCCAGAGAAGCTGTGGCTGGCCCCCCCCCGGCAGGGGT